ATAAAAAGGTGTGCAAATAATGATGTTGGTTTGAACAAAGAAAAAAAGAAAAGGCAAACCGGAAAAGCGAAAGAGTGAAAGGAAAAATGAAAAGAACGGAGAAGAAAATATAAAATAGTCGGAGCACATGTAGCGCAGAGCCACTGTGGAGTCGAGCGAATGGGAAGGCATAGAGAAGTGGTAGGTAGCGTAGTTGCCACGCAGGAAAAACGCGTTTAGCGCGAAAATTTGGAGAAGGGGTGTGGGGTGTGGGGTGTGGGGTGTGGACTAGGCCGGCTGTCCCATAGCCCCGGCTATTGATTATCTGGCAGAGGCTCGACGGCTACGGCGACGCACCCCCGTTACGGTAACGCTGCCGTCGGCCCTAGCCGCCTCTCCCCCGCAGTCTCTGACCTTCTTTTTCCCCGTACTTTTCTTCGTTCGCTTTGTTCGCTGCCTTTGTTCGGTGGCTCTCGTTGCGATGAATTGGAACGCGTTTCCGTCGGATTCGCGCGCACGCGCCCAGCGCGCGATCCCGACCTTCCTCGATTTTCAGCCGAAGAAACGATAATGAGCTTCTGCCACGGCAAGAAAGGCAGCGGCGGGTGTTTGCGCGGCTCTCGGTTTTCCAGTGGGCCGCAGTTGCGGCGCGTAGCGAGCAGGGGAGCGGGCTGCTGGCCGAAGCCCCTCGACATAGCCCAGTAGGAGAGCTTCGCCAAGCTCGTGTGCGTGCGCTAACGTGTGCGTCGGCTAACCGTCTATCGCTCCTCCTCCTCTGCTTCCGCAGGCTACGTAGCCGGCTCTCACCCTCCCCATCGGCCTGCGCGCGTTTTTCGCGCGCGACTCCCTTTTCCCACTGGGCCGAGGCTTCGCTGCTCCTGGCGGCGCGTGCAGCCAGCGCAGCCGTTTCCGATCGGCTCCTGCCGATTCCAGCGACGAATTCGAACGACGCGACGCGGACTCGAGTCGGCTTCAACTTTGTCAATAGAACGATGCGCTTGGCGCCCTACGCCCAGCCAGGCCAATCGATTATCCGACTCGCCGAGCGCAAAAGCAAACGGCCTCTCCGCCGACGCCTCCGCCTTCCAAACTTTTTCCAAGCCCTTTCCTCGTCCACGGGCCCTTGTGCTTTGTTACGAGTATCGCCTCTCCGCCCATGATCTGTCCGTTTTTTCTCTCTTGAAAATTGAGTTGGCGTCAGTACCGACCGGTGGCGAGTGTCGACCGAGCGAATCCAGTCGGATCGTCGATCTATAAATACACGCAGGGACTATCAGCCGTGCAGACAAGTACGGGGATTTTTGAACGCTTCACGAAGAATATTTCTCGAAAAAGTTATCCTTCGGGCGGCCGCTAGAGCTCGGCATAAAGCATCGAAAAGACCATTTTCTTTCCAGAAGGCGCGCGCGCGCGCATACACACGCAGTCGTCGTAGAATCGAGATAAGTTTTCTCGAGGGGATATTTTGGTGAGCGCAGAGGGAAAAAAAAGGTACGGGAAGGCTATGCGCGATGGAGCACCTGGGTCTACAAACTATATACCTGAGGTTCCCGCTTTCCGGGGCCGCGCGCACGCCTGTATTTCTAGTTTCAGTTGTAGTTGACCCGACGCCTCTCTGAATTCTAGGAAAGGACGGCGCGCGAGTTCCTTTCAAAAAATATCGATGGACTTGCTTTCAGGCGCGCTGCTCCTTTCGTCAGTTGGAATTCATGGCGATGCTATCTGCTGCGGGCGCGCCGCGCTCTTTTCTCCTTCGAGTTGCACTGCCCTATCAACGTTCGATGCCGGCAGAGTGGAACGCAGACGGATTTCCGTGCGCGCCTCGGACGACCAAAGTCTGGAAAGCCAGACCCGGAAAAACCTATTCGCGCGAGATGCCGCGTTGCGATCGGTCGGACGCGGGCGAGCGAAGGCGCGCAGCCGCTCTCCGGCAACCTTGACGATCGGCGCTATTCCTGCAACATTTTACAGCGTTCGATAACACGCTTGTTTTGGTTACGTCGATTCAAACCGACCCGTCGTACTTTTCAATCGCTTGCGAGCTATCGGCGAAATTCCTCTGTTCGACATAAAAACATTTTACGTATTCCGACACCCAAATCCCGACTCTCGGCATCTCTTGTTTTTCCTCGGAAAATCAACGAAACTTCCTTTCACATTTACCGCACGGACGAACGGCCACTCGAGCTAACGACAGTCATTTGACGCGAGGAGGAGCCTCGTCGCAACCAAATTCCTCTCGATTTCAGAACGTTTTTTCTCGCAAAGAAAAATGTGCAACAACTGTTCTTAACGCGTGTTCCAACTGTGATCGTATCGCAAACTCGGTAGATGCATTCGAGCTCAAGTTAAGAACGAAAAGTCGTTTAGAAGAAAAGCTTCCTTAAAGTTTCCGCAATCGTAATGTAATGAGCATCTCGGTGGTTACTTCGTTTCGAACAAATGAACATCAGCTGGAATGTTGCATTTAAAAACGTTTTGGCCGACTGTCAAAATGCTGATGGAACATCGTCAAGGTTATAGATATTAGTTGAAACATTCGAGAGAACTATTGTGATATTTCAGGTTGAACCATCGACTCGCCTAATGAAATAATTACGAAGAAAGTCAATTGTTGGAATAGATGCGGGGGATGATTGGAAATCGGAGGTAAAGGATCGATGTCTCGCGAGCAGAATAGGAAGATTCGTAAACGACGAAAGTGGCGATAAAAATAATAGGTTTTTACAAAGCTTGAGGCAGCAGGGAAGCGAAGAAAAGTCGACAGATTTAGCGATGGAGAGCCAATGCAGGGAGAAAGAGACATCGTAGATCATTGGAGAAATAGCCGTGAGTCGCATAGCGTAGTGGCGCGGCGCGGCGCGGCGCGGCGCGGCGCGGCACGGCACGGCACGGCGTGGCGTGGCGTGGCGCGGCGTGGCGCGGCGTGGCGCGGCGTAGCATGGCATGGCATGGCGTGGCGTGGCGTGGCGTGGCGTGGCGAGGTGAGGTGAGGCAAGCGAGGCGAGGCGAGGCGAGGCGAGGCAAGGCAAAGCAAGGCAAGACAAGGCAAGGCAAGGCAAGGCAAGGCAAGGCAAGGCAAGGCAAGGCAAGGCATGGCAAGGCGAGGCGAGACGAGGCGAGGCGAGGCGAGGCGAGGCGAGGCGAGGCGAGGCGAGAGGAGGCGAGACGAGGCGAAGCGAAGCGGCTGGCTGCTGGCTGCTGAGTCCTTGGCGGCTGAAGGTTCTCCGAATCGGGTCAACGGCAATAACAAAGGTGCCGATCGGCCGAAAGCAAAGCAAAGCAAAGCAAAGCAAAGCATAGCGAGGCGAAGCGCAGGCAAGCAAGGCCAGTAGTTGGACGCTAGCTCTTGTTCATTGTACGGTGGAAGCCGGCGCGGGGCATCTGTCGCTCTGCCGAACGCCCCAGGCTTTTCTACGCGACGCCACGCTGCCGTGGCCCGATGTCTCCCCGAAGCGTCCCAATGCTGATGTCCGCGCACTCGTTGCGCGCGAGTCGATAGTCGCGGGCCGGCGCCGCCGACGAGCAGTGGGTGTGCTACGTGGCTGCGCGCAGCGACGGTCTCGCTCGGCATCGACTGCCAACGCCGTCGAACGCACGCGCTGGTGCCGCGGACAATAGGTTCATTGACCATCGCGCGCAATTGCGCCAACTAGATTGGCCGCGCACGCACGCGCGCACGCAGCGACCGAGGCGATCGCCAACGACGGGCACGTCCACGGCCTACGTGGAAGCGCGGAAGAAAGGGCCGCGAGCACAGAGAACGCGTCCGACTTTCCCTCGCGGCTTTTCTCGGCGGGGGGACGGCGACGCCGAGAGAGCCCCTCCATCGCGCCTAGGCCGGCTCGCAACGCGGCGCGGAAAACGCAAGCGACGCGCCAGCGTGGGGGACGGACTGGGCGCGGCCTCGGCCTACTCGTCGACGACTTGGCCACCGCCTCGCGTCTACCTACGTGCACGCACGGCCGAGCGGCGGCGCGCCGTGCCGTTGGCAAGGCAGCAACGTTGCTGGCGATGCGATTGTCAACGATTTGGCAGCGCCTCGGCCTCGGGCGGTAAGGCGATAAGCGCCCCAGGATTATCCGCAGCCTTAAGCGAGGCTTAATTGCCGGGCACGCTCGGCGGGCAGAGATACGAGCATCTCGGCTGATGCCCGCAGTGGGAAAAGGCTCGCGACGCCCCAAGAGAGATAGGCCGGAGGAGAGATGGCAGCGAGATCGAGACGGCGAGATTGGGTTAGTGCCTGCGTGTCACCATAGCTCGGCTCGGCGCACTCCCACTCCCGCTCGGCGCGTGTATTCCCTCGTCTCCCTCTCCCGCGGGCCGAGCGCAGGCAGCAGCGCCGGCTCCCTCCTCCCGGCGGTCGACCGCGCGCGAGAGAGAGAGAGAGAGAGAGAGAGAGAGCGACAGAGAGAAAAGACGGAAATGCCGCTCTCGGCGCCGAAAGAAGTGTCGAGCCGCGGCGAACTGCGTCATCGGCAGCCCGCAGAGAGAGAGAGAGAGAGAGAGAGAGAGAGAACTGAGTCGAGCGTGAGCGAGCAAGGCATCACACACGTGCGCGTCACGAAGCGAGCCGAAGCGAAGCGTAGAGCGCAGAGCTATGCCCGGCAGGCCAGCCTGTCTTTGAATTTCCCGGGCGGGAAAGCCGTTCGACAGCGGAAGGCGCGGGAGGAGCGAGTGCGCGCGCACGAGGGGCCGTCAAAGGCAGGCAACGACCGAGAGAGAGAGAGAGAGAGAGAGAGAGAGCGAGAGCGAGAGGAGAGAGCTGGCGGCTGGCTCGGCGTCGTGTCTCTCTAGGAGCTGCGCGTGTGTGTGTGCGTGCGTGCGCGCGCGCGTGCGTCTAGCCAGAATCAGAATCGGAATCGTCGCTGGTGTTGGTGCGTGCGCGCGGAGCCCCGCGACCGAGAGCGAGAGAGAGAGACGGAGCGAGAGAGAGAGAGAGAGAGAGAGAGCGAGCGAGCGCCACGGTGCCGAAACTGAGCGGTCCTCGGTGCGCCGTCTACTGCTAGCGGCTTTAGTCTACCTCGGAGCGTGTTGCGGGCGCTTATGCACAGGCGGTTTTAACGGCCAGGCTCCCCCGTTACTCTCATTATCTCTCGCACCACCAGCACCCGTCCGGCTAGTTTGATCGGTCCTCCTACACGTGCAGCCACGGGTAGTTCGGCGCAGTGCACCCGGCGCGACAGTGCATCCCAACTTGTGACAACTGTGTCGTGGCCGTCCACTTCCGGCTTCCTGCTCGTCAGCATCAGCATCAGCGCTCTCAGTGCGTACCTGCTCGCTCTCTCGCAACGCGCAGTGCCGAGCGACCGACTGTCAAGCCGACAGCCTGCCCAGCAACAGATTATATTCACAGTTCAAAGATATATAGATTTATATACATAAAGAATTATATATACACACGGCAGCTGCCAGAGGGAGAGAATTTATCGTATCGGTATATTATAGTGCCTCGCGATCGAGTGTGACTTGGACGTATATCGGGCAGAAGAGAGCCGATAGCGAGAAGCGCGGAGCGCCGCTCTCGAGCACGTTTCTCGTCCGCGGAGCGTTTTTGTTCGTTCGTGCCTCTGTCAGTGTGTGACGACCCGAGTGTGAAAAAGCCGGCCAGTGAAAAGCCGGAAAACCGTCGGCAGCCAGCCAGCCAGCCAGCTAGCTAGCAGCACCGCAGACCGACGCGCAGCGCCGACCACTCTTGTTCGATCGGCAAGCATGGAGAAGTTCGGAGAGGTGCAGAAGGAGATGGAGCGCCTGGAGATCGAGGAGAAGAACGGCGAGGCTCTGAGGTACCTTAGCACCGGTTGCTCTCCACGGATTTCCCTGCTTCCCTGCTAGCCAACCTCTCCGTGGCTCGGCTCTAATTTTACGCGAGTCGCGCCGCCGCCGCCGCCACCGCCGCCACCGCCGCCACGGCCCCGTGCTGAGCCGAGCCGAGCCGAGCGGAGCCGAGTCGAGGCAAACGATCGCCCAAACTGGAAAAACCCTGAGGCTCGCTCCAGATAACGACGTCGTAGCGCGGTCGCTTATCTAGGTACGCCTCGGCCTAACATTCTTTCGGGGGGTCGGGTTTTCGCCGACGCGCTGAGCCGCTGCAGCGCTTTTCATCGTCGGCCGATCGGCCGCCGACGATAGGCCCGATCGAATGTCATTGCCCTCATTAGCCAACATCAAGATAGCTTATCGACAAATTTTCGCTTCCACTCCAACTGGCCGAGCGAGCGAGCTCCAAACATCCTCGTGGCTGCCGCTCTCCGTCTTGTCGTCGAGTCCGTTTCCAATCGATTCGCGATAACGCTTGCTCGATGTCGCAAGAGCACGGCGGGCGCCGTTAAATCGCTCGTGGCGAACGACGATCGGCAGCGGCAGCTATTGCGATCGTTGAGCTGCCGGCGACGCTGATAACGATCGACGACGGATCAACGATTCCGACGGGATGGGAGCCTGCTCGGTTATTTGAAAAGCAGCGATAACGTTAGTGGGCTCGCGCGAAACGCCGACGAACTCGGAGCCGAGCCGAGCCGAGCCGAGGCGATGACGAGTGGAGGAAAACCCGGCCATCTTCGACGACGCTCGCTGATTAGTGGCGCGTAGCCGCGCTCGCGCTGTCACGCGGGAATGCCACACACGCGTGTCGCCAGGTCATTGGATTCCATTTGCTTGGCTTCCCATGCGCATTTTCGACGCGGCCTCGCAGTCGCCCGCGGCACCGCAGCCCGCGCCCAAGTTAGTTTCTCTTTTTCTTCGGCAGCCGAGATTAACGGTACAACGACGCGCCGACTGGAGAGATCGACCGGCGGCCGCGGTCACGCGTTAGACCATCTTAGACCATCTTAGACCATCTTAGACCGCCTCCCAACTGCGCGCTTCGCTCGGAACGGTCCGCTCCTCGCCAGCAGCCATCGATCAAAGTGCACGAAATGAAAAAAGTTTACATAACGCCGCAGATTGGACTAATATCAACGATGTGTATTCTTAAGCAATGTTGCTTTCGAGTGTCATAAAGGCTGCGATAACGCTCATTGCATAATGATACAACGTATCGTTCGTTCTAGCCAGGCCAAAAGCCACGCCAACGCCAGAATAAATGCTCGGCGAATCGTTGCCAATCGTTTTTTTCCATAGCGAGCGACATTGACAATGAAAGCGCTCTGACAGTACTCATGTAAATTGCCGATTCCTACTAAAATATTTGGATAAAGTGAGTCAGTGATTACATCAGCGCGCGAAATACGTCAACGTCCATTTATAAAAAGAAAGGAAGGTGGAGTGTTGGCTGGCGTGAATGAGAATCGCAGAGGAGCGTTCGACAGACGAGAGCCGCTGCAAGCAGAACCGAACGAAAGACAGCGAGAGGCTCTGGCCGAGCTTTTCCGGAATCGCCGAAACGGCCTGCCATTTGTTGCCCTCCGCTGGGTCGAGCGAGCGAGCGGCTCGCGATCATCGATCGCGCTCCTCGTCGCTCGGCAAACGCAGCCGGCCAGCCGCCAGCCTACGTCGATACGACGCATCACAGCGTCTGCGGAAAATGGCGCTTCTTCGAGAGCACTGCTTTCTCCCGGAGCTAGCCAACAAATTAGCCTGCTTATCGCAATTCGCAATCCAATTATTTTATCGCTAATTCTTATCGAGCCCATTTTCCGTCTCGACCACGCTCCTCAGCTCGCACGTACGAACATTATCTATCGTCGAGTTAATCTCGATCGTGCTTTGATGGACTTGTCGTTCCCTAGAGATCGGTAGGAGCCCTCGCGTCGGCGAGTGCCGATCAGCAGCCATCGCTGCGGCCAGTTGCCTTGGTTGCATAGCCGGACGTCGTCGCCGTCGTATCTGCTCCTATCAGGTCCAGAAGCTTCGTTCCGAGCAGGCCCCCGAACGCGAGCGCGCTTGCGTAGTTGTCGCCCGGCGTCGTTTTCCGGTAGCCTCTGCTGCACACTCTCTCTCTCTCTCTCTCTCTCTCTCTCCGCCTACGCACTTTTCTGAAAACATCCGAGCTAAGCCACCCCCAAGGTCCACGGCGAGCCTTGCTTTCGTTACCCGCTTCCTCTGCTTCGGCGCCGGCAGCGCAGCACGTACGTAGCAGCCGCCGCCGCCGCCGCCGCCGCGAGATTCGAATCGGCGCGTGACACGTGGATCGCGTGCTCGAACCGTCCGAAGGCAGACAGATGTCGGGCGCGCACCAGCTCGGCTTTTCTCCGCGGCCGCGCGGCCGAATTTTTCCGAGAAGCTGCTGCTACTAACCGTCGCGCCTAGCTCCGGGCCGCGCCGCTTGCCTCGGGAGCCCGCTGCGCGCCACAGATATGTATACCGAGGCTGCAGCAACAAAAGAAACACGCAGGCGGTAATTATTTTTAGGCGCGTATTTCCGGCAAGTGGAAGCCAGCGACGCTCGCTCAAATATACGCGCACGGATAGTACGAAGGCGCACACTTGAAATGTGGAAGACGCCAGGAGCGGGCCTGGCCAGGGCCGCGTGGCTCTATCTCCCGGTGGCGCTGGCGAAGCATCGCTCCGGCCCCTCGCTGCCTCGAGGGGTCGGTAACGCCGCGACCTACCCGACCTGGCTGGCCGACCTGGCCGACCTAGCCGACCTGGCCGACCTGGCCGACCTGGCCGACCTGGCCGACCTGGCCGACCTGGCCGATCTGGCCGATCTGGCCGATCTGGCGACCGCGCGCGACCGACGCGGACCGAGTGTCGCGGACGCGCGTCGATTTCGCGCGCAACGAGACACGTCGCCGCTCGCGCGAGCACGCTCCAACGCGCGCTCACCCGGCCGATCCGCGTTGTTTGCGCGTGCACGCGTTCGCGCGCGTCCGACGCGCGCACGTGTCCGGCGCGTCATTGCCATGCATGACTTGCGTTTGATTATGCGAGCACGACGGGCATCGCCTCGACGCACCTCCGCTCGGCGTTTTCTCCGCTTTCTCGGCATTTCCATCGACACTGGCCCTTTTCCAGCCGAAGCGCGCGACTCCCGGCGACGTTACTTCGAGCAGCGCTACTGAAATCAGCGGTGAGATCGGCTGGCTGGCCTCTGTCGGCAGCCTGCCAGCGAAGGCGATCGCAATTGTCATTAAATCGACATTCAGCCGCAACGTCACGTCGCAGCAGCGAAAGACACAGGCTGCCCGGCTGCCCGGCTGCCCGAATAATCATAACGAGGAGAGAGAGACGAGGGTCGCTGGTGTCTCGCGTGGGACCGCCGCGGACGACAAAAGCCGCGGCGGCTCCTCTAATCTCCCCCTTGGCCAGGCCGCTGCCCGCGCGCGATACCGTTAGCACGTAACCGCGCGCGGGCTTCTGCGCGCCGTCGACGGCTCGTCGTTTGGCGCGCGCGCGAGATCGACAGCTACTATTTGCAGTCCGCTCGGGTCCATTTAAAGCCGATGCGAGAGCCCATTGACGGAGGAGCGCTGCTACAAGTGGGCAAAACGGAGAAGAAGCCGCCCGAGCCGGCGGGCGCGAACGCGTGCAGGGGGCCAGGGGCCGAGGGAAGGGGCGCGGCGGCCGGCTTATGATCAAGGCCGCGAGCACGGCTCGCGCCTAGCCGATTGGAGGCTCAAACGAAGCGAGACTCTTAATTTCACATCGCCATAAATAATTTGACCGCGCGCGTCGGCTCCGTTTCCTGGAAGGAGACCTTCGGCTCTCTCTCTCTCTCGTATCTTTTTGCCCCGCGGCGCCTCGCTACACAAGCTCTCGCTTGGCTATCTTGCGCAGCCTCGGATAGCCTGCGAGCGATGATCTACTTACTCGCTGCCAAACACTCGCGAGCCTTTCTCACGGCTCAGGCATACTGCGACCGGTCGACCTATACGCGCCTTACGCAACGCTACCGACCACCGCTACTCCCCATCCTCGCTCATCCTCGCTCATCCTCGCTCATCCTCGCTCATCCTCGCTCATCCTCGCTCATCCTCGCTCATCCTCGCTCATCCTCGCTCATCCTCGCTCATCCTCGCTCATCCTCGCTCATCCTCGCTCATCCTCGCTCATCCTCGCTCATCCTCGCTCATCCTCGCTCATCCTCGCTCATCCTCGCTCATCCTCGTTCATCCTCGTTCATCCTCTCAACGGATCTTCGACAAGAATCGCTCTCAGTTTTTCAATTTGTCGAAGCTTCTATTATCTAAAGTATTTTTCGCCGCTGCGCGGCTTGCGGCCGAGGCCAGAACAGCGACGCCGCTCGTTCGCAAAACTAATCGCTAGCCGCAAGCTTTGCAAGTCTCGCCGAATCGATCCGCCGCCTCGCTCGCCGCGCTTGCACCGCAAGCTCTCGCGCCCAGTCGCGCTTCACGTCTCCTCGCTTTGCGACATTTTTTCTCCCTGCCCCCTATTCGCACCTGCACATACCTATTTTCGCATGGCGCATTTTACACTCCCACCTCGGCACTGTCATTTTTTTCTAACGGCACATTTGCTTTTCTTTTGTTACAGGTAAGGACGCTTCTAGCAACATGCCCTATTTTATTACATTGTTCGGTCTCATGGTAAGTCTTTGGAACGTATAGAGACAGAGTTTGTTTTCCTTTTTCTTCTCTCTTTGTTTTTTTCTGTCTCTTTTAGTTTTATCGAGAAGATCTTTATGCGCGCAATGTTCGGTTGTTCTCTTTTGTTTTGCATTGGTAGCGAAATTCCGAAGTATTCACGTGAAAAATTAGATTGAACCGTTAGTCGAACCAATTTGAATCTGAACTTGCCAACAGGGAATGTCGAATGAAGAATTTCGTTTTGTATCGATGAAAATATGTTGATTAGTTAGGAGAGCTGCAGAAGATGGCCTGGT